GGTTTTGGCTGCTTGGGGCGGCCAAAACCCTGGAGCCGGCCCTGGCATCACGGCAGGATTCTCTCTTTCATTTAAACAGAGAAAACCAGAACCTGGAAGTGCAGAAGACAAATTCCTCTGGCACAATGAGCTCTGGTAAGTCACTGCTCCTCACATGCCTGCCTTTAACTACAGAAATCCTCCTGTCCAGTTCTAATGCTGTGACTGATTTGTGTTTTTATCTGTTCTCTCTGAATCAGCCATTCCCGTGCGGGATTCCACTGTCGAGAGGGCCACAAGAAGTTTTCATAATGAAAAACAAACCCTGGTTTCAGGTTGTCATTTCCCCTCCCCTCTGGACTGGGGGCAGAGCAGGACTGGGTGGCACTCTCTCCCCGCCCCCCTGGGGGCTGGCCCGGGCCCCACTGTGCACCCTCCCAACAGTCCTCCACAAGCCCCACAGTTAGGGGACCATTGGTTTAGGGTCCCCATTGCTGCTAGCCTAGGACAGCCTTGAGTGTCACTTCAGAAGATACTTCTGGAATAGTACTGGGCACCTGGGCAGACCCTTGATCTCCCATGGGTTTGTATGAGGGTAACTGATTAGCAAACAGTGACTGGGGTGGATATTTAATTTTTTTATGGTGGTGTCTAGATGCCCCTGTCGGGGCTGGAACACGGTTGTGCTAGGTGCTGTACAAACACACAGACAGTTCCTGCCCCCAGGAGCTCAGTCTCAGTGGGCAAGGATGAGAATGGAAGTGAATTTCTGTCCCTAGATCTGGTGATCAGCTCACACTGGGATGTGGGTAAGCATGGTATCAACACATGTAGATCCACAGTGTTTTACTATTCCCTGTCCTGTTCCTTTCTCGCATGTCTCCTGTATTTCTGCTGTCGACAGTGGAAATGCTTTTTTTGAAATCCTGAATATTGTCAGGTCCTGCAGTGTGGTCAGCGTGAGCTCACTTATCTTTGGGTGCCCCGGCTTTCCCTTTGTCTTTCAGAACAAGAAGTTGATGTTGTGAAAACCGTGGTCAATGGGCTGATATCAAGCAGCAATGGACAAGAGCAAGGTGAGTCAAGTACATTCAAAATAATCTCTGCAGCTTCCCCTGCACATCAGTTGGAGTGGCGCATCTATTTCCCCAGAGTTGAATCATTACAGTGTCTTACTGTGCTCAGCTGCAACCACAGCATGAGGGGACCGACCCAGTATTAAATTAACATTAATGTTTTAAGGAAAACTATCTTTGTCAGCTAGGGCCTGATCCTAAACTTGCTGAAGAACATGAGCCTTTCCAATAGCCTTTGGAACCTGGCCTTGCACCATTAGATTTTTTTTTTATTAGTGTATTTGGGGTGTGTCAAGGCTGTATCCCCACTTTGAACTTTAGGGTACAAATGTAGGGGCCTGCATGAAAACCTCTAAGCTTAATTACCAGCTTAGTTCTGGTCCCGCTGCCACCATTCCCGATGGATTCCCTCCCTGGGAAGCCTTGAGAAACCTCTCACCAATTCCCTGGTGAATACAGATCCAAACTCCTTGGATCTTAAACAAGGAGAAATTGACCCTTCCCCCCTCCTTTCTTTCACCAACTCCTGGTGAATACAGATCCAAACCCCCTTGGATCTTAAAACAAGGAGAAATCAATCTGGTTCTTAAAAAGAAGGCTTTTAATTAAAGAAAAAGGTAAAAATCATCTCTGTAAAATCAGTATGGAAAATAACTTTACAGGGTAATCAAACTTAAAGAGCTCAGAGGACCCCCCTCTGTCTTAGCTTCAAAGTACAGCAAACAAAGATAAACACTCTGGTAAAAGGTACATTTACAAGTTGAGAAAACAAAGTAAATCTAAGACGCCTTGCCTGTCTTTTTACTTACAAGTTTGAAATAGGAGAGACTTGTTTAGAAAGATGGGGAGAACCTGGATTGATGTCTGGTCCCTCTCAGTCCCAAGAGCGAACAACCCCTTAAAACAAAGAGCACACACAAAAGCCTTCCCCCCCCCCAAGATTTGAAAGTATCTTGTCCCCTTATTGGTCCTTTGGGTCAGGTGTCAGCCAGGTTACCCGAGCTTCTTAACCCTTTACAGGTAAAAGGATTTTGGAGTCTCTGGCCAGGAGGGATTTTAATACTGTACACAGAAGAGCTGTTACCCTTCCCTTTATAGTTATGACAGGGTGGGAAGATTTTTGCTCCAGGCTTCTGCTCTGGTATTCATGCCCTTTCCTCTCCTTTGATGGCTTTTTATGACAGGCTTATTATAGATGAATGAATGAGCTGGTTCAGAGTGAATCAGAACAAGAGCTTGGCAGAGTCTATATTTTGCTTTTACAAATCCTTGTTAGTGGGATTATTCCCCAAACCAAAGGCAGTTTGGAACAGGGTCGCATTGTGTCCAAACCTCCCCTTGAAGTTCAGTGAGGGGGTGGATAATAGTCTCTGATTTAAGCTCATCTCTAATACAAGTTAGCTCAGAACTGTGCCCCAAAACTGGAAGTCAACCTTTCTTGAGGTTTGAAAGAATTCAGCCAAGTTCTTCCACACATCATTCCTCTCGGTATCTTTCCATTCTTGGGCAGCCTCTGCATTTTCAGGTTTTATCCAGAACCGCAGCCGAAGTGCCACAAGACCACCACAAGAAGAAGCTGTTCTTCTGAGCCTAACATTGCAGACCAAAAGCAGTTTTGGATAAAGCTCAGGGAGGCTTCCAACCTTTTGAAATCAATGAGTGTTCTGTATGCAGAGGCCTTACAAGGTCCGATCCTAGAGGTAAAATCCTGGCTACACTGAAGTCAATAGCAAAACTCCCATTGACTTTGCCAGCACCATGATTTCCCCTCAAGTGTTTTATCCCAGCTGAACTTCTTGAGGTTCACCCATCACTAACTTTGCCTGTGCCCCATGAGGACAGAGTTCAGTATTGCTCATTCAAGGCCACATTAGGAAAAGTAGGGGAGGACGAACCAGATGCTTTGGAGAAGTGAGCAACCTTTAGAAATTTTCAACAAGTGCTAGAATGTTGCACAGTGCTGCATAACAGAGAAAAATCCCTCTAAGACAATGTTCAGTGTTTGTTGGTAAAATCCGGTGTGTCTGATAAAATTAGTATGCAGAAAAAAGGAGTTTAAACAGAATCCCTCCGATTTACTGCTTGGCTGAATGGATCTCTCAAGACTGGATACCTTGATGGTACCCTTTGGTTCTGGATACTTTTCAAGACTCCTGGTCACAATTCTCTACTCCCTGCTATTGATGATGTAAAATATACACCATCAAAAACATAGGATTTGTGCAGAGTGGCCAGTCAATGTTATTCTCAGAATCTTAATCTGTTTGTTTCCTCACTCTGCATAATTTTAACTCTGCAACTTTAAGATTTTTTATCTTTGCATGTAATATATGTAGCGTCTTGGCTAAAGGTTTATACTAAACTTTAGTTACGTCGTCCAATGAATGTTTGAGATTCCCTTCCCTCACAGTATATTGGCAGCCGGGACTCAGTCAGTTCACTAAGCAGTACTGTACCCTGCACAACAGATACACATCCTGAATTAGGATGAATGAGGGGCTATTTTTAATGATTGCATCACTGCTCTCCAGACTGCTTTTGTATATGAAATTTCCTGCTATTGTCATTCCTGGTTTCCCAAGTACATTAGAAAGCTTTGTGGCATGTTTCCTTAATTGTGTTCTTCCCTTCTGGATGCACCAACTACACTTTTGTGTTTGCAGCCATTGACGTCCCTTTATGTGCACGCTCTATTTCTGCTGTTAAAATAATCCCCGTGAAGAAAGTGAAAAGTTCTCCTGACCTAATGCTACCTACAGGTATCTTTCTTTCCAAATGCATTAGTAGGCCATCATCCACTCTGTCTGCCTCACCCCCTTAAGATAGTTTTCAGCTTCATCCTTCTTTCACCGTTTTCCAGTGCTGTAGATTTCATCAACAGCTAATAGAGTTAAACCATGATGACACAATTCATTGTTTACAATAATCCAGTTTCTCTGCAGGCATAATTAAGCATATTTGAATTTGGGATCTATGTAAACTCTTCTGCTAATGCTTGGTATGAACATTACTGTTGTAACCTCATTTTAAACCAAACTCCTGAAGAGTCTAAAATATTTCCTGTATATCTTAGGTCCATAGAGAAGTAAACAGACATCAGAGATTTTATTCTGCAGGTTCAATCTTCATTCAGCATCTGTATTGCGCTCTCTCTCTGTCTCTCTCTCTCACACACACACACACACACACACACACACACACACACACACACACAC